TGCAATTTTGTTTATGCATTCCTGGTGAGCACCAATATGTAACTCCAATTTTGCTGCTCAAAATCAAAACTAAAAAAGGAAACACATTCCCTGGCATATTTAAGATTTGTTCATGACTTGTATTCATAAAGTGTTGTGTAAATGTGATAAAAAGCTGTTGATTCTTACCTCATACAGTGATAGTGAAGTCCCACACTGTTTACTATATATGGGTTATGAATGTATTTTATTATATAAAGTGGATGTCTATTTACAGTATGTACAACAATATACAGTTTCGTGAGGTAGAATACTTTATTTTCTCTTCATTTTAAGCTTTTTATCAAGCGCTAAAAGCTTATTGGTCCTCTCCGTCTTTTTCCACTCTCTTTTTAGCTAACTCCTCTTGTTTTTGCACATGCTCCAGGCTGTCGAAAAGCGCTTGAGATCGAGTAGTTACTTTTCAGTACAAATGTCTGTTTTCGGTGTTTCACCGAGGTTGCGTGACTCTGTAAAGCTTTCCATCCTCTCGATCCGTATAGAATGACATCGTCACAGACTGTACACAGAGCTTTACTGGCGACATCGAGCTTTTTCACGAAATCCGACACAAGCACAATGGTTCCTATTTACTGTTTCCTACTGGGGACACCGTCAGCTTTCTATCCAACCAGTCCCATCGAAACGTGTTTTTCAGATCCGCATCTATCTGACGCACTTTAGCTTCGTCGCGAGTCTCGATAACATTCGGCATTCGCGAGAAAGGGGTTTAGGAAGGCGAACATGGATTGGCTGTGATTTGCATTTGCCGATATAGCGACCAACCACAACAAGTTACTTGTCACTAATTTTCTCAACGGATTTAGACGATTCACAAAAATGATCAATTTAAGAAATAAAACGGCGGATTTCCGCATATCCGCGAAAAATTGCCTTCCGTTTTTCCAGATTCTTTGAACCTTTTGATGATATTATCGACCGTCGATGATGAAACCCCAAAATTCCTTGCAACTGTACACTGAGGAACATTGTCCTTAAATTGTGTGACTATTTTCTCACACAGTTGGTGAGCCTCGGCTCATCTTTGCCTGTGAATGATTGAGCAATTCGAGGGCGCTCCTTTTATACCCATTGATGGCACCCACCTGTTCCCAGTTAGCTTGTTCACCTTTGTGTTGTTCCAAATAGTAGTTCGATGGGCATTCCTCAACTTTTTTGCCAACCATAAAATTTTAAGATCATGATTATCCCCCTCCCCCAAAAAAAAACCCTTCAACATTAAATATCTTGTCTTGCAGTGTATTCAATTAAATTTAGGTTGAACGTGATTTGCAAATCATGTTATTCCCTTTTTATTTGTGTTTAGCGTATGTTTAACGTCCCAACTTCATTGGAAATGGGTTTGGACGTAATTTATTCCAGTGTTCCGTGATTACATTTAACAATAGCTTAGATCAGGGGTGTCCAAAGTCGGTCCTCAAGGGCCGCTGTCCTGCCTGTTTTCCAGCTTTCCCAGGAGCAACACACCTGATTCAAATAATCAGGATCGTTCTTAGGCTGCTTCAGAGCCGGCTGATGAGCTGATCATCTGAATCAGGTGTGTTGCAGCCCGGAGAGATGGAAAACAGGCAGGACAGTGGCCCTCCAGGACCAGAGCTGGACATGCCTGGCTGAGATTGATCCATACATTCATCAACCTGAGCCGCTTATCCTCAGGAGCGTTGCGGGTGTGCTGGAGCCTATGCCAGCTGTCATCGGGCAATAGGCGGGATACATCCTGAAGTGGGTGGCAGGCAATCGCAGGGCACACATAAACGAACAACCTTCCACACTCACAATCACACCTAGGAAGGATATATTGTGTTCAATTCACCTACCATGCATATTTTTGGAATGTGGGGGAAAAATGGAGTACCCAAAGAAAACCCACGCCGGCATGGGGAGAACATACAAACTCCACACAGGAAGGCCCGGGGCTATTTCAAACCCACAACCTCTGCGCTGTGAGGTAGACATGCTAACCAATCGCCAACCGCGCCACACCAGCTTAGATTCTGTTTTTCCTTATTTTAGCCTTAGCATGTCTTCCCCTGTAAATAACTAGTACTCATCCTCCTTTAGTGTTCATGATACTTGTCAAATCTATCACTTACCATCGTCACCACCAAGGAGGCGATGGTGAGGGACTTCTAGAGGAGCGGCTGTTTTAAGCCATCATGACAGCCGGACGGCTGCAATTACAGAGTCGTGGAGGTACGAAGCTAGTTTTGCACATGGTCAAGTCGACACAACATCAACACACATTGTCCAGATTGGTTGATAGAGGCCAAATCTTATGTCAGCCAATGACACCGCAGTACTTACAGACTTAGTTGCGAACTCCAAATTAATCTACCGTGCATGTTGTCTTGTGACTACCAGAATATTTTCAATCCCCGCCGAACAATGAAACAGAAGGGAACTGCCAGCGGAACATTTGATATCCCTGTTAACTCTGTGCAAAAAAGTTTTCTCTGCAATGATCCATAATGTATTTTTCTCCACTCTACTAAGAGCGGAACACACGGCAACTGCCCGAAACAAAAAAAGGGACAAAATCAGAACGCTTGGCATCTCTGCTTAGGTAAAAATGAAAAGTACAAGTCCACTTACTGTGGCTTGTCCAACTTGGGCAGGCACCATCATGCGAACGCCGGCAGGAATTGTTGTCACGGCAACTTTTGGCGTGGCCTGCCGCACCGTGACAAGTGAGGCGCCACTTGTGGCTCCTGGAGTGGCCACTTTCAGGACAGCTGTAGAAAGAACAACCCTGTTGAAGAGGAGTCAGTGGCAACTGCTTGATATGCTTCAAAGCTAATAGCCTCAAAAAGTTCTCATATTAATAAATACAAAAAGTCAAGTCATATAGGCCTCAAACAAACAAACAACATTCTGTATTCTGGCTTCCTCACACGTCCCAAAACCATACACTAGGTTAATTAAAGACTTCATATTGTCCGAAACTAGTGCTAGATTGTGAATGAGTGTGAATGCTTGTTTAAAAACATGTGCCCTGTGATTGACTAGCCAGGGTCCAGGGTGTACCCCACGTCTCACCCAGTCCAGCTCACCAGGGAACATGAACAGAATAAGTGGAAGAAAATTAATGTGTCTTTGGTACGCAGAACCAAAAAGTAACGGAGAACCAAAAAGAGATCAATCCACCCTACCTGGACTTTTGGCAGCAGCCAATGACTTTGCAGGTACGGCTGCTGTGGGGGAGGGTACTAATGTGATGCGGGAGGTTTGGTTTGTCAGACTGGGTCCAACAGGGGAAGAGCTCTTGAGAGAGTTGGCTGCTGCGGCCAGTGAGGAGACAGCCGCGGTTGCCACGGACGTGGCGGGAATGTCGTACTTCTGTATCTGCAGCAGGTAGGTGTCAGCGGTCTGCGATGGTCCCCAGCTGACCTCGAGAGACGATGTGTTGGCTCGTACCAGTTGGACCCGGGAGGGAGCACTGGGACGCTCTGAGGACACAGACGTGGAGCTAATTCAAACGATTGAGAGGGAGGTGGGATGCCCTGTAAACAGTCACAAGTCACCCACCTGTCTCCAAGTACCAGAGATCTTTGCAGCACACCTGGTTGTTCCAAGCCTTCCTGTATCCATCTCTCCCGCTCCATATGTAGAGTCTGGAGTTGATGGCCACGCTGCAGTGGCCGGCGCGAGCTCGCGGAATGTTTTCCTCTATGCTGTCCATCTGCACCGTCTCCCAACAAAGCGTGTCTGTCCACACAGAAGGCCATTAAATCTTATTGAGGTAGAACACTTGAGTCTGCATTGGGTCGGTTGTACCTCCTCACACACTTTGAGCACGTCCTCTTTCAAACATACAACAATCAAATAGTGTGTGTGTGTGTGTGTGTGTGTGTGTGTGTGTGTGTGTGTGTGTGTGTGTGCGCGCGCACATTTTTACCAAGATTGAGGCAGGCCAGTGTGTTGGTGCACTTCCATTCCTTCTCATGTGTTCCCACTTTGACATCATCCATCAGCAAAGGAACCCAACCACCAAACACATACATCCTGACAGACAGGTGGAAAGGGTGAGGTGAGACAGAAGCCAAGCTCATTTGAGCAAAGCTAGCCAACCAGCTGTTTGAGCCACGTTACTTGTTATGTACAGTGGTGGCCGAATGCAGGCTACGAGGCAAGGGTGCATTCCCACTGAGTGATGGTTGGCTCCAGATGAGTGAGTCTGTGACATCAGGACACATTTATCTCCGTTGCATATAAATCCCATGTCCTGGCAACGGCGTGGTATCATTGTGTATGTGGTCTCACCAATGTCGAGCACCCACAGATCACCCAGCCGGCAGCCGCTCATCCCCCCGTAGATAATCAGACGGTTGCCTCGACACCCGCTCGCAACCACAGCCGTGTGACTCTCTCTGGGTGGCGGTGGCTGCCCTGACGTCACTGGAATGTCCCAGCTGACCATGCTGGATCCCTGACGCAGCTCCAGGGAGTAAAGGTCATTCAGGTACCTGAGGAAAAGTCCAAGGTGAACCTGGTGTTGTCAGTTGACTTCTGATGCGCTGCGCTCATATGATATCATTCAAAGATCAATTAACACATCTGTGGATGACCGAATCACACTTCTTACCTGGGAATGTTGTTCTTGGGATCTTCACTGTCATTAGCCAGTCCTCCAAATAAGAAGCAGCGACTTCCAATCAGAGAGAAGCTGTGACCGAGACGAGGGCAGGGAGGTGGGTTGTTCTTTGAAGCCTTTGCTTTTAGACGCTTCCACTCCCAGCGACTGGCCTGGTGGGGGTATTCATTGCTCATATCATATAACCGTTTTCACATGATTAGGGATGGGTACCGAATCCTGGTTCTAAACTGACCTTGGGGCTGAATTTTTTAAAACTGCTGTATTGATTAGCAGGCCTCGACAGCGCACCCACTACTGTATGCTCACAAATGCTCCCATTATTTAAATGTGTGCTGGTAAAACTTTCATCCGGTGGCGCAGAGCAAGTGCGTGTTCTAATGCTCCCACTGGTGTATTGTATTGTTTATTGAACATATATAGAACATACAATAACAGATTGACAAAATGCAAACAAAAGTCATAAAAGGAAAAGATAAAAGTACCTAAAACAAACATCATCACAGTTATATGCTCAAAGTAGTAGGAAGAAGTATACAACTTATCTAGTCCTACCCCTTGTTGTGTAATAATGTGTATTGATCATTTTTCAATACCAAAGAAAAGGAAGAAATCTACATATCATAAAAAACTTTTACTCTTATGTGTACTGTACTTATCTATTTATACACCTTTCGGTTTATATATATATATATA